CAAACTCTATCAGTGTCAATATAGTTCCACTTACTTGAATGGAATTTCAAGTTTCTATGACCTGAAGTGTGGGTACTAGTATTTGTGCTTTGAGCCCTCAATCTGCGATCACGTGATTGGACCATAAATCTCGCACTGGTCTAAATTTTTCAATGACCAAACCAAGCCAAAGTTCACGTGCCTAATTTTCAGTAGTTTTCATTCGAATTTTTTTATGCTCAATAAGCCACGGCCTTGAATTCGATTTCCAAAACAGTTTGAAATAATTCTGAAAATAATTAGTATATTTTAAGAAATATTTATTCTGTAATACATAGTGAAAAATTATTTGCTAATCAAAATCAATGGCGGTTCAAATATTATACTTTGTGGGTTAATTTTGAAAGTTGTCTTTGGAGAATTGCGATTAACACATCAGTCCCCTATAGCCACTAAATAACGAAACGTATACCCTTTGAAATGGGGCAATTTCAGCTTTCACTTAATAGAAGGTTTCATTCTTTATTCTTTTTGCAAAAGCCATTTTACGGATCAGATTATATTAAAGCCTGGTTACATCATCTTAATGAGGGTACAGCGCTATTGCAAAGCCGTATGTGATTGGTAAAACAGCTGCGAAAAATCTTCTTATAAATTTTCCATTCTTTCTTTGATTAAATAATTGGAAATAATGGAATAACTTAAGTGATATGTTCATTCCATTGAGAGTAAAATGTCGGTTTGAAAGCGGTGTTTGTTATTTACAGTATCATCAACGAATACTCAAATGGTAAATAAGTCTATTAATCGGCAATTGACTTCTGACTTCAAACTACCGGCCGCACTGTGTACCATATTCAACCCATTTCACAGTACTCATTTCAGCCTTTTCTCTGCCTTTGTGTCTGTCTCTGTTACATCTGTGAATCATTATTCTGTCCCCACCCCCTACCCCCACTCGACTTTTCGTCACTATGATGTCCCCCCTCCTCCCTGTGAAACCCGAAGTCAGCCAGCGGGCTAATGACAACTATCAAAACGTCTGCCATTTGAAATAAATAAATGAATATTTGCAGTATTATCTATTACGATGAAGTGCCTCAATGAGGCGAATAGTAGACTTAAAATTTTGGTGAGCACATTTCATTTACTAACTCTTACTAGTTAAATAATGCTGGAAATAAATTTTTTGGCTTTTCAAGAGCTAGGTGGATTAGCTAATATTTAATAAATTATGTTTGAGAGTGGGGTGAGCGATAGACTTACCTCCACGTGGTGCACCCTGGGCAACGTATATTTATACGGCAAAAAAGTCTATTGACTGGCAGTTGACTTCTCACTTCGAACTACCATCACCTCACTCTATGCCATATTCGAATATTTTCACAGTACTCAACTCACCATTGTTCTACCTTTGTGTTTGTCTCTTACATCTTTGAAACACTCTTCTGTTCCCCCACCCCCACCCCCTTTATCGACTTTTTCAATTTGATGTTTCTTCCCCTCTGTGAAGCCTGAAGTCAACTAAAGGGCTAATGATAATCATCAAGACGCCTGCCATTTGATTAAATAAAAAAATAAATGTTTGAGAGTAAGATCAGTGAAATTTGGTTGCATAATACAATGTAAGATTGGGATTGAATATTCAGGGATTATTCGCATTAAGAAAAACTAACACTTCTTCTTATAGTTCTCTTCTAAAATAGCTGTTTTTTCGGACTAATAGTGATGGCTTGAACTACAACAATGGATCATAAGAATATGCAAAAGTCGAATTTAGCACATTCTACGGAAACTACCAAGCCTCCTACGCCAAAATAAAATTTGGACCCAATTTCCCCTCTGCTTGATAGACAAATATATCAATCCCCATGCCCATGCTGTCAAGGATGGCATTTCTGAATTATCGTTCCTCCAAATGGGCAACAAATAAAGTTGTTGTGCTCTTATTTGCTCCCAGAACCAATAAATTATTTAGTTTGATCGACCCTCAGAATGACCTGACCAGTTTACTAACTTTCAGAGAATACCAAAGCNCCCCCCCCCCATCTCCACCTATTTCACTTTGATGTTCCTTCCCATCTGTGAAGCCTGAAGTCAACTAAAGGGCTAATGATAACTATCATAACGCCTGCCATTTGATATGAATAAATAGATCTTCACTAATTGGCG